CTTCTGAGGGAATGTGGTGGAGCCTCATGCTGTTGCCCCTTTTTCTTCTGCCAGACCTGTCAAGCTGAGATTGTGCTTGAGTGCTGCAATTTTTGCCATGTGACATTTCAGATGGGAAGCAAAGAACAGCTCTGCCAACCACTGCTCTCAGGTTCTCTGCTAAATAAAACCAGGTTGCTGGCATTTGCTGTGTCTGAAGGAGAGGCGGGCCTGTCATTTTTACAAACAGTAAAGGATACAGAAAAACAAACGTATTCCCTCGGAGCCAAACGCAGTTCCCCATCATGCCTGGGAATCCCCGTGGAAGGGAAAGGGGTCATGCTGTTTTAACAAGAAAAGATTTGACCAAAAATACCCAACCAAGCACAGCAGCTGCAAAGTTGTTTTTCTTTGGTTCTTTTTGTTTGTTTGTTTCAGTTTTCAATATTTTGGCTTTTAAAGAAAGCAGTCTCAGGCAGGCTTCTCCATTTGTCCTACCATCACCAGCTTTAGCAGGAAGACTTCTGCCCTCCAGAGCTTTCCCTAGACTTTGCTAGACTGATTCTAACACCACCAAAAGTCACACTCTGAGTATTTCATTAAAATCTTTGATGTGAATAACAGATAATTTTCTCCCTTTGAAAAAGGAGCAGGGACTCAGACAGCAGAGCCTAAATGTCAGCAGCGAGGGAAGTCACAGGTTTTATTTCTGTTCTCAGTAGATGTCTTTTCGAGGTGTGAATTTGCTGATGTCTAACCAAGGTTAAGCTTATGCTTTGTCTCTGCCTGGAGAGGGGAAGGGGAAGGAGAGAATGAAAATACCTTTCATCCAGTTCTGGGTTTCAAACTTGCAGACACCAAATGTCTTGAATATCCTTTGGAATCAATCAACACATTCCAAAGTTTTATCCAAGGATCCATTTTATATATTTACGCGCATACACTGTAGTTCCATAACATTCATCGCATTAAGAAACACTGGTAAAATTAACTTTTGTTGTTGTTGTTTTGGGGGTGTTTTTTGGTGTTTGTTGTTGTTGTTGTTGTTGTTTGTGGTGTTTGTGGCTTTGGTTTTTTTTTTAGTGTATTAAGAAATTCCGAACCATTCGTTTCCTTTTTTCTTTTCCCCTCTTTTTTTTCTGTTGGAAACCATCATATACCAAACCAGCCTTTCTCAAGTTCTGCTGGAGGACTTTCTGTAGGTCATGACAGGTCGTGTGACAGGTCACAGCTGCGTCATGTAATGACATAACATGCATCAGGGGAGGTTTAGGTTGGATATTAGGGAAAGGTTCTTCACCCAAAAGGTGGCTGGTCACCCAAACAGACTGCCCAGGGAAGTGGTCACAGCACCAACATTTGGAACAGGCATTGGGACAGTTTAGGAAGTGTTTGGACAACACTCTCAAGTACTTGGTGGGATTCTTGGGGCTGTGCTGTGCAGGGCCAGCAGCTGGGTTTCATTGATCCTTGTGGGTCTCTTCCAGCTCAGGGTATTCAGTGATTCTATGATTCCAGGCTGCTCCTTAACCAAAGAAGAGCTGTGCAAACTTTTAACAATGTTCTCAGAAACATGAAGCACTGTCAGACTGTTCTTGCTTAGAGGGCACTGGTTTAGTGCCTTTCAGGGAAGAGTAAAAAATATCCTTGAAATGCAAGAACATCTGAGGATCTCCTGATCTTCATCTCTACGTATTTGTGTGTGTCTCCTGAGGAATCACCTCATCCCTCAGTGCCTGTCACCCCAAAACCTCTATGATTCTTTTAATGCCCTTGGCTGTCTCTGTGGTGATTTCTACTAAGAAAGTCCACAATAAATCAGAAATAAATGAAAAAGGTAACCTGTGATGACGTCAGGTGTTCTGTTCCTACTCCTTTGAATTTATGGTAGTTCTTTACACCACAGATCTAGACAGGAGTTTATAGACAGAAAGGTCAACAAACCAAGGTGAGACCCTTGGCTGTAAAGCAGCAGCTCCTGAATCACTCCAAATCCTGAGGGAGTGACCCACTGGGTGACCCTGCTGTGCCTCACACCACTGCTGTAGTGTACCCAGCACCAGTAATGAGAGATGTTAAATATATCCTTTATAGCTCCTGGAATGGGCAGCCTCCTCCCCGCATCCAGCCTGGCCTTTGGGAAACCATGGATATCTGCTCACGGTCAACGCTGCACTGAGTTTGGCCTGTGTTGCTGCCCCTGTCCCTCCTCAAGGCCTCCTCTTTGCCTTCCTCATCTTTCTCTTTGTCATTCCTTCTTCTTATTTCCCCCTTTTCCTCCTCCTCTTCCTCCTTGTCATTATCACATTCTTCTCCTTTCTTCTTCCTCCTCCTCTTCCTTCTTATCATCTTCATTTTCTTCTTAGAATCACAGAATGGTTTGGGTTGGAAGGGACCTTAAAGATCATCTCGTTTCATCCCCCTGCCATGGGCAGGGACACCTTCCACTAGACCAGGTTGCTCCAAGCTCTGTCCAACCTGGCCTTGGACACTTCCAGGGCTGGGGCATCCACAGCTTCTCTGGGCAACCTGTGCCAGGGCCTCACCACCCTCACAGGGAAGAATTTCTTCATAATATCTACCCTCCTTCAGCTTAAGGTCATTTTCCC